ACATGAAGGTGAATGTTTCATTCATAGAACAGTAGGGCATTCAGTCAATGATGTAATTTATTTTGAATGATCTAGAACATAATTCTCCTGAAAATTACCATTTTGGGAAAAATCTGTGAATATTAAAGAACATAATCTGCCTAATGCCAAGGATAGAACAAGTGGAATGGGCTGCTCTATTTGGTAATTATTTACCAGATGAAAAATATGGTCTGCGATTCCTCTCTCAGCTGGCCTAGCTGGGGAGATATTTGAAGAGTCAATTATTTAAGCATGAAGTTAAATTTTAATCTTGAATACTCAGTCAGGTTTTCTGAGTGTGTATTGCTGTCCTCCATAGCCAACCCATGGTTAAATGTACTTTGCCTGAACAAAAAAATGTACCATTTGAAGTGAATCATTCAGTTTATCCACTAAGGGAATCTACAATTGATACTTTTGCAAAAGCTGCTATTGAGAAAAAGCTTATTGTGTTGAGATTAATTCAGTACATTCCACCCTTATAAAAGCTTAAAATAAGCCTTTGAAATCTTTTGTACTAAGCTAACGTGGTTTGCTTTTGGGGTTTTTTGTGGTTTTTTTTGAGAGGAAAGTTTACAAGAGCATTCAAGTTGTATAAAAAAATGCATTTAAAATCACTGAAAAGCTATTAAATTCTGACTAAGCTTCTCAGTTGAGTTAAGCTATTTAATAAATGGCCAGCATCCCTTTTCCAAAATTATTGAATTTTTCTGTTTCAAGGTTTTTGCTGTTAATTTATTTCTAAGTCATGCCCTGAATTAGTGCTTGCCCTATAGAACTCCCAGTACACTATATCAAAGAGAAAGGAAAGGAAAAAGAATAGAAAAGACACTGTCTCACATCTGTACTCTGAAAAATGATATTTTTTAATCATGGTTATCCTGAGCCAAACCATAAGATTGATGTTAGCCTTTGGTGGTATCTCTGCATTTCTGAATAGGCAGTACATATCAACAAGTGAAAATTTCATTAACAGTGGTCCTTCCTACATTGCTTCTCTTCTGTTGTAATTCCTGTATTTATTCCAAATTATTTTCTGTTTATTTTAATTAATTCTTCATATGTGGACAATTCTTCTAAGAATGTGCTAATTTTGTGACTGCAACATGTTGGTAAAATCAAAATTTCCTTTGGAAAGACCTTTATGTACTAAAAATGTCCCTCATTCATTTTTGCAGTTTGTTTATCCTTATTTGGAGTCCAGAGAACCTTTTAGTGGATGTAAGAGGAAGTTGTAATGGACTATTGAGGATGGAAATATTGATTGAATATATTGAATCATGCTTATTCTGGAAGATAGGGAGATAATAGAACTAAATAATTGGTAAAAATGAGAACTGACTATTTATACTGTAAACTCTTCTGCATTCTAGACTTAGGAGAGGTCTAGAATTCACTCTTAAGGGTTTGATTAATTTACTAATTGGCAAAGAACTAGTACAACCTTTTCAAGCTCTTCTCTGGAAATCTTCCACTACCTCTGTTAGGTGGTATGACTGATCAACAAAGATGGAAATTTTTTCCCCATAGCCATTATCTAATTTTAATTTTTTTCATTTTCTTTTCTTTCTTCTCCTCCGTAGTATATCTGATATATTCCTAAGGGAAAAGAAATACACTTCTGACTAGTGCATTACTATATTTAAAATTCTGATTAAATGAAAAGAGAGCTAGAAATTATCACTACTTGAATTTTGAAAAATTATTCTTGGCAAAAAACACAGTACTGCGACAAGAAGATCAGGTTATTAGTTACTATGACTGCAGTATTAATTGATTGCTAAGCTGAAATGCCAAGGGCCATGTCTTACTTATTCCCACAACTGTCAATGAAAGTTCTACTCATGGAATGAATAGAATTAAATAACCCAAGCCTCCCCCTCTCCTTCCCACGCATATCTCTTCCTCGTATTGCATCTACTTAACAGGCTGATGATATATGAGCAAAATAAGTGTATGTAACCCTGAAATTCTGATTAGGTGTTGAAAAAAAAAAGTATTTTCTGTGGCACATTTTAGTAGAGCTCTTTTTGTTGTTTTGTTTTTTAGCATTTCAGGATGTTCCTTTGCTTATGGAAGAAAAATTAAAATGTGTGCCTTGGCATCTATTATTATAATTATGTAATTCAGCTGGGATATTTGAGTTCATGCCTCCTGGTTCAATGAAATTTATCTCAGCCGAGTTTTACTTAAGACTGATTGTGGAACAACTATCTAGCTTTAAAGTGCCCACAATCTCTGATCTTCAGACTGGTTGATTTTGAGGATGAGGCAATGGGCCTTGTAGTCACTCCATTCCAAATACTCACTAAGCTAAAGGCTGTAGCCTTGTGTTTGACAGCTATAGTCACGTCTATTACTTTTTCCATTAATTTTTCCATGAAATTTTTGAACCAATGTAGCAGTTTACATGCTTTGAAATGTCACAAAATTTTATTACGGTTTACAAATTATATTTTGCAATTTATAATTACGAGTTACATTGCAAAATCTTGCAAAAAACCTCTGTAATATTTCATATGAAGTTAAGTGGTTTGAATGCGTGCCTTTATTTTGAACCTGTCATTTGATTTCATTTGATCTTCATCTTTTTTTAAAAGGCATAGAATGCTAGAATGGGTTTGAATGAGATGAATGACTAGCCTTTGTTTCCATTAGGCACCTGAAAGCAAAAATCCATTTTGAGACATTATTAATCTTATGTGGTGAGGGATCTGTAAGGTTTTGTGCTTGCAAATTAATTCTGTGTTGCGGTTGCTTTTCTAGATATTTAAGTTAGGAGCAGAGCCACTGAAACTCTCTCCCCCTGGCAAGTTGTTCAGCCATCTCTCATCAGAGAGAAGTGGCCTCATGAAAATTACAGATAAATGAACACTTATTTCAAATACTATTTTCTCTGTTCCGTCTTCATGAAGTAACTCCTGCTTAATGTCATTTACAGACTGAATAGTCTTCATACTTTAGAGATGAATGGTTAAAAAGATTAGAGAGACTGCAGTGTGTCTTGCTAGTCTTAATTTGTACTCCAGTGGCTCATATCTGCAGAGCTCAGAGCTTGATCCCAAATTTAGATCTGCATCTCATCATAGCAAAGTGATGTAGAACCCTGCTTCCTGCTGCACAGGTGATGTGGAATATCCTGGCTGCAAGCTCTGAGATAGCCTGATGCCCGTGGTCCTCTAATTGCAGGAATATTTGCATCTCATTTGAATAAAAGTTGGAATAGTTACAAAAATATGTTTTAGGGATTGTAAGGTTTTTTTCCCTGTTACACTAAAAACATATGAAATGTCAAATATTCCTCAGAAATATAAATGTACTGATTTCTCCAGGAATATTTAATGACAGAGTTATACTAGTATGGATTTAAGTGGGCTATAACAGAGGTTTTAGTGTAGGCAATAAAGCCAAATTGACCTTTGGCCAGCCTCAGCCTTGCTTCATTTTTGCAAGATAATTTGCTCAAATCCTTCCCTCCACACAAGTCCTGCTCTTCCAAATTAAGTTTCTGATTTTTGGCTGTTGTCCCACTGTCAGAAAATTTCATAATCCTTGTTCATCCTGCTCTTCTTGTGCTCCATGTTAAAGAACCTTCCTAGTCTGATAATTCTGTGCTTCTGAAAAATAGAAATTTTCCTACTGTTCTTTCAGTAAACTGGGGAAGGATGAGGGGTGCATTGATATTTTTTTAAAGCCCAGTTGGAAAATCTCACAAAATATACTGTCAGCCAAATGGGATGCTGAAACTGAGCACAAATATGCTATGCTCACTGCTCACCAATAATTTATATGATTCTTCTGACATGCTTCCTATTACTATAATCCCTCAGATAGCATTAAATTTTTGTGGAGATTCTTTTGAACTATACCACACTCAGGCTTTCCTTACTCATCCATGTTTCAGAAAGGCAGCACTAGAGAAATAGACCTATGTAATCAAATAATGCCTTCAATTCAATTGGTACCACTTGCAAGAAAATATGCTGTGCATATACTCAGGTCACCCTAACTCTGGGGTTTCTTGCATAGCTGAATGAAGGGAAAATTGATATCAGACTAAATAAGGGATTTGTTTCCTGGAAACCCCAGCACTCTGAGTGATAAGGGCAAATAACTGTAATGAAAAGATTTATAGAAGTGTGGAACAGAAGTGTTGAGTTTGTTTAAAGAGAGTATTTAGTTAAAAGTTTCTTCTAAGTAAACTGATGACCTCTATTTCTGTTTTGCTGAAGTTTCTTTTTAATACTTATATTTTGCAAGAGCTATATAAAACTTTTCTAGCTTTTTGAACTGCTAACAACTGTGAAAGCTGACTTGCAATGCAATCTTTTATAATATCTTTACTGCTATGACTTTGTTACCCTGCCTTGAATAGGAATACAGATCTCTATGTAAAAGGAATTAATTCTCTTCAATAAAGGAATTCAGTCACTTTAATGCTTTTATTGTGCTGCAATAGCAGGATGAGCATGTGTACAGGGCGTTCACTGATGTGCATGCACCACATCATTGCTGTGTAGCATCATTTACTTTTGCATGTAAGTATCAAAAGTCTTCTTGTACCATTTGGGACAGATCAATAGACCAATGGTGCTCTCACTTATAGCAGCAACCCTGCTGATAATTCTGTCAGTTACTGGTTTAGAGGTCTTGGGATTTTATAGCTCATGATTACATTTCAATCCACCACTGCTCTGACAACTTAGTAGAAAAATCGTTTCTTGTCTTCAGTTGAATAAATTGCATTTTATTGTCTTTTACCTTCTGAAACATGAGCAGTGGGGGAGAGCTGATATCTGCTGTGCACAGCTTCCCCTTGCTGTCAGTCCATCTGCCAGAGAAGACATCTAGTGATCTGCTGAGCTGGTCCTACAGTCAACCTAAGCTCCTCTTAAATCAAGTTTTTAGCTGTTCACCTGTGAGTACTCCTCTTGTTAGGTCCAAGGTCTTTTGATTACCTTGTATTAATTTTTTTGTAGGAAACTTTTGGACACTGAAGATGAACTCTCTGACATCCAGTCGGATTCAGTCCCGCTGGAAGTGCGGGACTGGTTAGCTTCTACATTCACGAGAGAAATGGGAATAGTGAAGAGGAGACCTGAGGAAAAACCCAAATTCCGAAGCATTGTGCATGCTGTACAGGCTGGGATTTTTGTAGAAAGGTGAGAGTTTTGTTTTCTTATTACTGTAAGCACTGCATTTAACCACAGTGTCTGCCATCCTTTAAACGGTGGGATGAACCCAGAGCAAATCTTTGAGCCAGAATGTATGCTTCAATTTCTGCAGCCACTCCATTTTTCTATACAGAATTCCAGATGAAACCTCTAAATCTGTAAAATCTCCTAAACATTGGAAAATTCTGGTGTTGAATTCAATGTCTTTGTAACTTCTACACTAAATCGTACCAAAGATTGTTCTAACGTTAAAGAGTAATATACTTGCAAAGGGGTTTGTCTCATAACTTCATAAACGATTACATAAATCTTTGGGGTCAGACCCTTAAATAGATTCATGTTACTTTGCAAACTCTGAAAGAAAAATTTAAAAAAGATAAATTGTTCCAGTATGTTTTTAAAGAAATGTTATTTCTTAATATTTTATTTGTTCTTTTAGGATGTACCGAAAAACTTCAAGCATGGTTGGTTTGGCTTATCCAGCAGAAGTCATAGTCACGTTTAAGGTGAAAGAAGTTTAATCATTGTAGAATTTGAATGTATTTGCACTTATGTTTAGTGACTTTTAGGGTCAAATTAATATTATTCTACTGAACATACCCTAGTCATAGTGCTACAGAACTGAGCACAAAGTACAGAGAAACTAATAGTTTAGAATTCAGAAATAACATATTATTCTGATTAATTTTGATTTCATTTAGATCCTATTAGAGTAATAGAATGAAATTTGTATAGAAGTTTTTATAGAAATGTGAGACAGTTTTATCAGCTCCCAGTGGTATCGTAATCAGCGTCTCAGACAGCAGCATTTGTTTCCTTTTTAGGAAAGAAAAAGGAGATACTATTGGGATAGAGCTAACAAAAGAAGCTGAAACTTATGGAACAAGTACAGCATTTGCTGTATATTTAAAGTATTAGTCTAGTTCAGCCAAAATATGATCTTTTATAGTAAGCTGAGTTCCTATGTCTATGAATGCAATTACAAACTGGGATTTCTTGAGAATTAAGTACCTCCACTTTTCCCCTGAAAGCCAAACAATTATATTATTCTCAAATTGCTTCATGTTTAATGACATCAGTGTTAATGACATTGCATAATAGCCTATTTGAAGGCTGGTATTCAGAGTAGCTCCATGAGGCTGTATAGACAATTTGTACTGAGAAAATTAAACTTGGGAGTTCGGTTCAAAGCATGCAAAGTGGCCTTGGTCATGTTGCGAGTATTTTATTCATAACTGACACAATTGTTTTCATCATTAATGTTGTAGTAGCCATTAATGTGTTATCCACATTAGGAATTTGAAAGAGTTGGGTAATAAAACCACCAAACTTTCCCTCTTCCCTCTAGATACTAGCCAAATGGATGGAAATGTAATGGTTTTCTGGTTTTGTTGTTTTGCTTTTCCCTCATCTACAGGATGTTGATAAGTGGTCTTTTGACGTATTTGCCCTTAATGAAGCAAGTGGAGAGCACAGCCTGAAATTTATGATGTATGAGCTGTTAACCCGATACGACCTTTTGAGCCGTTTCAAGGTCAGGAACTAACCACAAATAAAAATATGTATGCAAAAATCTGTGTGCAAAAATACATGTGTCAAGTTTAAAATACAAGAAAACCAGCATTGAAATGTTTTTTATCGTACAATGCAGTGTAGAATTTCAAAGAATGTGGCAAATGAAATATTGTGAAATGCCAATAGTTCTACCAAACGAAACTTCACCCAGAACATGCAAATTTTTCTGCAACCCAGAAGAATGGAAAGTTATGTAGACCCCTGTCATGTCATTTGTGTTATATAAATAGATTAGGTACACAGACTATTTACTCAGCAGGTCTGAACCAGTGTCCCACCTTTATAGACCAAAAATTACTAAAAAGGCAGAAAACCATAATTAGTCCTAAATACTTTTTTCATGGTCTGAATCATGCTGTGCTGATCACCACTGTGCAGGGGTTTCAGCTGAACCTTCCTCTCCTAAACAACCTGGGGGGATATATATATAAAGAGAAAAATTGCTTTTCCACGGTGTTTGTAGGGTTTTTCAATAAAATATAGAGTTCTTATAGCCATCTTTGAAAGGCTGAGATAGAAAAATTGATCAAAATTATAAATTTGTTGTTATAGTAATGAATGAAAGTTTTCTTATAGTTTCAAAATCTCTTCACTGCAAAAACTTTGTGTTCCTTTTGAAGAGGCAGTCTTATCCTGAAGTTTATTGAATATTTTAATTTTAGGCTGGCAACCCAGCTTTTCCCAACAGGCTTTATTTGCTTGAAATCAGAACCACACCAGGACCACCATTGTAACACAGACATGAAGTACACAATGCTACTGGCAGAGTGGGCTAAAGCCCATTCTTAGTCCCATTGTTTATGTTTCAGGGGTTTTAAATAAAGAAAAATTTATGAAGTGATATGTAATTTCATTAAATGGGTGAAGTGGTTTACCCCCAGGCAGCAAATAAGCACACACTGCCACTTACTTGCTCACTCCTCTCCCCAGAAGGATGGGGGAAAGAGAATTGGAGGCGTAAAAGTGAGAAAACTTGTGGGTTGAGAGATGTACAGTTTAATAATGGTGGTGATAATAATAATATAGAAAATTAATATTGAAGAGGGAAAGCAAACCCAAGAAGAAAGGCTGCAAATGAAAGCAGTTGCTCAGCAGCAGCAGCTGAGTGCTGCCCAGGCAGTCCCCAGGCAGCAGTGCCCAGCCAGGCTCCCCAGCCCGGGGCTGCTGACCGTGAGGCCGTGTGGAGCATCATCCCCTGGCTCAGCAGGGCCAGCTGTCCCAGCTGTGTCCCTTCCCACCTTCTTGTGCACCCCGGGCTACCCAGTGGTGGGTGGGATGGGGAGCACAAAAGGCCTTGACTCTGTGCAGACGCTGCTCAGCAGTAACTAAAACATCCTGGAGTTATCAGCTCTGTTTACAGCACAAATCCAAAACATTGACCCATACCAGTCCCTATGAAGGAAATTAACTCCATCCCTGACAAAAACAGTATAATACAAAAGTAAGTGGGACCAGATAGTACCTGTACTTCATACATTGTCTGGAGGAAGGAAAGTTGTATTATGACATTAAAGCAAACCTTGTCTCAAGCAAGGTAAAATAGTGAAGAAAAGGAGATAATCCTATTGTTAGACTCCTATCTGTCATGCCTGTGTTATACATGCAACCTCTGCATCCCTGGTGCAGACAAATATGCCTTCAAAACCATTTGGTTGATAGCTCTGCAGTGTCTTGTGCATGGTGTATGAAGAGAGATACAACATCTACAGGAACTGTTTGGAGACTCACTGGTTCATGTATGATATCAGACCTTTACATTTTAAATTTTTCTTTTATTGTCTGCCCACTAGATCCCATGGCAACTTGTGATTCATTTATTGCATGCTTGACTTTGCAGATGTTGCAGGAGAAAAACAATTATTTTAATGTTTTCTTGTCTGTAGATCCCTGTTCCAAATCTTATTTCTTTTGCGGAAGCTCTTGAAGTTGGTTACAGCAAATACAAAAATCCCTATCACAATTTGATCCATGCAGCTGATGTTACTCAAACTGTGCATTACATAATGATTCACACTGGCATCATGGTAAGAAGTATTGTGAAATTCAATTTCTTTTCTCAGACTCTGCTGTTTTGAATAAATGTGTACATGTTTCTTTTCCAATGGAAAAAGCTCATTTGAAAATTTTGCAGAGATTCAAGATCTGCTGTTCAGGCTGTGAACTTTATTTCGTTTTAACAGTTCTTCCAGGCTGAATTTCTCTCAATGCAGAGGGAAAATGAAGAAAAAAATAATCCTTAAATAATTTTTGCTTTTCATCGCCTGAATTTAGGTATTTTATATCATAGTTAATGAGATAGATTTGCAGGAGTGGGCAGGTGAGAATTTTACTTTCACATCAGAGCATGGGAGGTGTGATCAGGCAAGGAAGCTTTAGTATCTGCAGAGGTCCTGGCTGCTGAAAAATGTACTGAATCAGTGCAGGCTTAGAATTATATCATCATGGAATGGCTTGGGTTGGAAGGGACCTTAAAGACAACTCAGTTCCAACCACCCTGCCATAGGCAAGGACACCTTCCTGTAGACCAGGCTGCTCAAGGCTCCATCCAGCCTGGCCTTAAACTCTGAAACTGCTTTTTCTTTCAATTTCTAACCTTTTTTAGCACTGCTTTTGTATACTCTATATGCCTATGGTAGGCAGGCTATTGCATTTGCCTTGAAATATCACAATATTTTAAATTATTTATTTGGGAACTGAAATTAATCCGTGCAAGCATTTTTATTTCTTAACACTTATCTTAAATTAAATACCAGCAGTGGAATTATCCTCACTATCAGCTTGCTAAGCAAAAGTAAATACTGACTGAAAGAAAATGGAGATTGCTGTCAATGGCTTTTGATAATTTGTCTTCACTGTGAATACGGTTGTTTAAAAAAAACCCCAACAAACCAAAAAACAACCCACAAATGAAACAGCTGGGAAGAAATAGTGTCTGATTTCTGTTTGCAGAGCTGTGAAACAATTCCAGAAGACTTTGGAAAGAAAAAAATTTTGAACTGACTGGGTGGTTTTGCTCCTATATATACACACAATAAATGACAGTCAATCATTTATGTTAAGCCTTTTCTCCCTTAAAAGCCCTTGGATTCAGGGTGGGCAAGGAAAGGTCCCCAGGCATTGCATGTTTCTTTTCTACTGTTTGAAGGAAGTATTTTGTTTGTAAGTGTTTAAAGCTGTATTTTAACTCTAATACTACTTCATAAGTGAAGCCTGGAGTCTTCACTAGCCAAGATTCCTTTTCAGATTGAGAAGCTTTCTTGAGAAAGCACTTCCATATCAGACTGAAGCAGAGGCTAGACAGCTCTTGCCAAGAGGAGTCCAAACCAAAGTTGTATACAATATTCACCTGTCAAAATAATATTTTAGTAAAAGAAAATTCTTGAAGATATTAGATTAATTGCAGGAGTTAAGTGATATGAGCAATGTCTTTGTTGCAGGTATACACCTGGATCAGGAACTTACCAGGAGGAAAATCCTTTTTTTTAAAAGGATTTTAAACATCTCTCAGACCCATTGTATCTGCCCCTCTGCCCTTAAAAAAAACCAAACAAACAAAAAAAAAACCCCACAAAAAAAAAAAAAACCAAAAAAAAAACCCAAAAAAAAACAAAAAAAACCCAAAAAAACCCAAAACACCAACATTCAGATTTTCCTTGTGATGCCAGGACATAGTTCTAACTTCCAGAGCTGTACTAGTAATTTTTGGATGTTTAGCCATTGCTTAAACCACTTTGAAAGACACTGTTTATCTCTGAACACTGAATAAAGGAATTTGCTTCATATTTTAATATCTGCTATTTCACTGCATGCACATGAGTGTGAGAAATAACCAGCACAAGTATTACAGTATTAGCATCTTAACCTTCTAACTGCCTTAATCATGTGTCCAAATCACATTATTTGGACATCTATTTTCAAAAAAGTTTAGACTTTACTGCTGCAAAATCTCATTAATGTTGCCATGCTATTACAAAATATTTCTATAAAATTAGTCCAAGTTTAACTCACATTTTAATTGCCAAAATATGATATTGAATTGTGATATTTTTCTGCCTGTGGCAGGGGGGATTGGAGCTCGATGATCTTTAAGGTCCCTTCTAACCCTAACCATTCTATGATTCTCTGGTGCTATGATACTGGAAAGTTCTTGGAAAGAAATCTAACTAGGACACCACTTAGTCAAGAGTGCCTTCAAAGAGATGTACTTGCCAGGCAGAAGGAACATTTATGGAAATCAGTGTTTGAAAGAGGGCCTAGTGATTCTGCAGCTTGCAAAGTATTTCTCTCCCAAATGTCACTTGCAATTTGAGAAAGCATCAGTATCATGAAAATGTTCTATTTAACTTGCTGGATTTTTTTTTTCCTGTTGCCTGGTTAACCCTCCAGTACCCTACTCAATAACAATTTGGAGTTTGCTTCTCAAGCAAACAGTTTTCAGACATGTTTATTGTAGTCCTTTTTTTAAGCTCTGTTCTATTTTTAATACCTGGATAAGAGTAAATATGGTGCAATTCTAGATCAAATTCCTGTGGTTTTTTGTTTGTTTGTGTTTTTATTTTTCTCCAGATTGGCTTGCAATTTGAGGTTTTTCTGCTTTCATTTTCTCTTAAGGACCTGGTATTAATTCCAAACTTGCAGAAGTTGCTATCTTCCTTATTTATTTCTGAAACGCATACTGAAGCAAATGTTTCCAAAAGCTGGGGTTTGGGAAATCTTTTGCACAATTCCTGTTGTTGAGGTCATATGTTTTGTACCTTTTATAGGAAGCTGGAAAACGGCCGTATTTCCACATTTGCCAAAAAAATTTGGCCAATCAGAGTTGATGCTTCTCCACAAGCCCCTAGGGAGATTCTGGTGAAGAATAAGACATATACAGAGCTGCTGTTAAAGGAATAAAATAATTATTATATATTTCAAATTTTCTGTCTATCTAAAGAAAGAATATCCAGCCACCTCAGCTCAATGTGTTCGAATGTTAAGTATCACAGATGGCAGACAGTCTATTAACCTTCCCAAGAGACTAAATCCCAGATGATGCAATTGAAATGTATAAGTCAAGCTTGCATTTATGAAGTTTTCATCTTTATAAAGGTTTAAGAATCTAAGTCCCAGGGAATACATCTTGTAAAGAACTTTTGAGTCATCGATCATCTTCCCACCATCCCTTTTCTCCTCCCACGTACCTGTATTGCTCAAAGTAAAGGAAAAAATGCCTTTACTGCCAATAAGTGCATTATGAGACTCCATTTCTTACTCAGTTTTTAATCCATCACTGTAAAAAAAAAAAGTTTCAAACAGAGCTCATAAGTTGAAATGTATTTGTTTACATATAAGCAATACATAATACTTCCATAGAAAACATAATATAAATTATCTATGACACCCACAAGACAGTATCTTTCAGGAGGGAAGCATGTTTCAGCTCTTCTCAGTCTTGCAGACCCCCAGATACTTGTTTTTCCCTCTCCCTTTCAAAACACTCTTATTAACTGTCTCTGTAAGACTACTTTTCTACTTCCTTAGAAATCCTTTAGCTAAAGTAGTTCTCTGGGTTCTCTGATTTGATTACTGGTCTCAATTTTGACTATATTAGTGTGTGTAGAATACTTGCTCTTCTCTCTTACTGTATGAAGTCTCTGTGTAGACCATAGATATTGTCTGTGAGTAATGTTGTTCTGCTTATGAATGCATTGTCTAGCAACTACTTTACTTGCTACAAAAGCTGACCTTTGAAAAGGCATCTTAAAGAAAAGTTTATGTTTAGCTTTTGTTACACTTTCTGTGTTCCTGTTCTGTTTGGTATGTTGAAAACATTGTGAGAGCCAGGACTGGTCATGGCCTGGTTTCTTGTGACACACAGTATGATGAAGGTCATTGTTTCCATTTTTAGAACTGCTTACAGTACATTCTCATTCCTCTGTCTGTGACCTTTCCAAGCCTATACTGCTTCACCAACAGCCAGTGCTTGTTCCTTGGCAGCCCTATTGTGTCACTGAATGACCTATTTAATTATTCTCACATTGCTAATGAATCTTGACTCTTTCCTTTCTTTTTCTTTGGAAGAAGAACTATTATTGGCAACTTTTATTACATCTGGCAACTTATGCATTTCATATCCATTCATACACATACATGCACATTCATATGTGCATATTGGGGTGTGTGAAGTTGAGATCATTCTTTGATCCTTTAGTACAGAAGCTTACTTGTACACCAAAACCACCTGAAATATGTGTGGAAATGCTTGATTAGCATTTGACTTAATCAGTCCTATGACTGTGGGGGTTAATTATCATATGATTTTTCTGCCCCCATCTTTAGATGGAGTAAGTTTTCTCCTCAAGGACTTTTTGTCATTCAAGAAATAGAACTTGAAAGAAGATAACAGAGGTTATTTTACAAACTGTGCAATACAGAACAGCCTCATTTAGCAAGAATTATAAAAGGGCTCAAAACTCCAGGGTCTGCATTATTTTGTATACATGACCTATATTACCTTTTGTACTGTGTAACTGCATACTAGCCTTCTGCACTTTTTAAATTTGTTTTATTTTCATCAGTACAAAGTACGATAAAATTTAGAGCAGAAAAATCTCCCATGGGTCTAATTTTAGTGCTATGTACACTGGTAAAATAGAGATAATGCTAATTTTGTATCTTCAGTTCACAATTAGCTGTACATATAGTTTACTAAAAGACAAACTATAACCTAAACTTCATATAATGTTTTTTTAGATTAATATACTGTAATTTGGCAAGTGCCACATGTGAGCTAACAGAGTAGATACTCAAAGGAGTTGCAAAGTGAACTGTGTAATTCTTTTGATAACTTCTTATATTTTTGGTTGCCAATATTTACTTTGCTAGTGACCATAAGGATGGTAACTCAGTCTCGGAGAAATCATAAATACAAGGACTTACTTTATTGTATACTACTGAAGTGTTATGGATATATAGCTATCTGGAGTAAGAGAAATGTTTATTTAAGTTGAAGGTAATGCACTGAAGGTAAAACATTTTCAGTACTGTAGGGTTTTAACCGAATTAGGCTATTATTGAAAATGTGACTATGATTTGTTTTTCATTTACCAGCACTGGCTCACAGAACTGGAAATTTTAGCAATGATCTTTGCAGCTGCCGTCCATGACTATGAACATACTGGGACCACAAACAATTTTCATATTCAGACAAGGTAAGTGATGCGGTCTCCTAGGAGTTCCTTCAGTTCATTGCTGAACTGCTTCGTAACTCTTTATAATAAAGCCAGGAAGCAGCCAGGTCAGTCTTGGTTTTACAAATTGCTTCATCAGCTTCTGTCCAGTTAATGGGATCAGTCACATGGTCCAAAACTGTGGAAAAGTAATAAGATAGCTCCATAATGTCTGAAATAATGCCATTTTGGAGCTGATATGTCAAGAGAAAGTTTGAAAAAGTTCAGGACATGCAGAACATGGACTTGAAACCCATTCCCCCCTCTATTTGCTCACTAAAATTCTGATACTACTGACTCAAAAACTTCTTCTACTGTATCCCCATAAAAATGCCTCATCACTTACAGCAATGTGCTTACATTTTGCTTCACTTTTTTTGTATTAAACTTAGAGGGTCCTGGTGCAGAGGGAGAAACTTTCAAGTACAGCTTTAGAAACACCTAACATGAGCTATCTCCTAGCATGTTTTGAAAGCAACTGCAGTAGATATGAAAAAGAAATCTGGAAAGGAATCAGTGTGAAAGTTAGGCTAGCTGTGTTCTCCTGCATGTGCAGCATGTCATTCTAGCTGTTAGTCCTGTGCAAAAGCATATAGTTCTCTCCCTTAAAATATTTTCATTTTATCAAAGGAAAATCTCTGACCAATCCATTACTGAGTGAAAAATGGTACATCTGATACTTTGGCTAGTACAAACCATCTTATTCTTCTCTTACACTAAGCCATAGGGTTTTTTAGTATCCTCAGTTGAGGAGTTTGCTTTAGCTGCTCTTTAAGAAAAAAAAAAATCAGCATAGCACTGGCATAGTCTAACAAAACAGCTCAGTGCTAGAAATATGATTACTTTGGACACAAGCATCCTCACACTCACTTATATGGATCAATTGCCCAATGATTACATTTAAATTAAATCTATAACATAGTTTTTCTCCAATATGTGGCTTTTAATGATGAAAAATGCTAGATTTGCAGCTGAAATAAGGACACAATTCTTTTGTCCTTCAACATAGTCTGGCTAAAAATAAACTTCAGTTTGTAGTTCCAAGTTTATATTAATTTTCTATTTTTGTCCATAATATTTTGCTATGAAGTCCTGCAAGAGTGGAAAACAAATTAAGCTGGTAGCCTTTGAATTTTACTCAGGCATACTTGCAAACAGGTATTTGTTATGTTATATAGCTCATTCTTCTCTCCTTGTGTAACTTGGCCCTGATGTGGCATCCCAGAATTCCAAGTGTCTTTTGCCTGAGGAAAATGGATGGAATGGCTGCCAAAATCATAGCAAATCTTAGCACTCCTTAAACATAGTCATAAGTAGCTATGTTGATCAAAATGTGCTTCATAAACATATGTGATTGGCATAACACAGATTTCCTCATGATTTTAGTTTGACTATGGATGTAAACATATTGATTATTTAGGCTGGCTATGGTTTGTTTCCTCTAAATAACGTTTCCAATCCTATTTTAATTATTTACATTCTACTGTACCATACGTGACAATATATACTGTTGCTCAACAGAACAAGAGGTTGAATTTAGCTTATTAATGTCAGAGTAAGCAGCACTGCTAAATCAATGCACCTTTCTTCTAGTACAGACTTGTCACTGGAGCAAATTGAAATATTCAGGAATAATTTTATCAGAACAGAATTGCAGCAGAGACGTGACTCCTGAGATTGCCTGGCAGGTTAGATCAGGTCTTGGGGAAACAAAATCCCCAAGAATTAATGATGTTTGAAGCTAAGTGTGATAAATCCACACTGCATCAAAATTTGTGAATGTCTTGGTGTAATTTTGGAATTGTACATTAGTCTTTGATTATGCAGGAAGGGATACTATTTAGTTTGCTATCATTATGATACAAGTCTGTCTTTAGGAAGCACTTGAGCGCTCCCAAATTGCAGCTGAGCATCTCTACCATCCCACTGTGATGAGGCTCAAGGTTTCTCTGTTTTTCTGAGAAAAGATGGTGGCTGTTTAAAACATATGAAAGTGAAACTTTTTAATACCTTATTATTTACAGCATCTTCTGATAATGAGTAGCATGGGCCAAAGCACATCTCTCAGAGCAGGGGAGTAACTTCTTAATACCCATGCTATGTGTGGAGCCCCACTGTTGGTGAACACATTGCATTTTAAATGGTTGTATCATGTAATCTGTAGTTGTACCTTGTAGGCTAATTAAAGCATTTCTGATGCCCTGTGATCCTGTCTGCAGTCAAGAAACTCAAAGATCTCATGAGATTTTGCCAGTTAGATCATATCAATAAAACATCACACATTATAAAATATGACTTTCCCACAAACAGTGTATGCAGTGGTATAATGATAATTTATAATGCTTTTAAGATGGAAAATTTATCAGTATTTGATATAGTAGGAACAAATAAACATTGTTTGATATATCTATCTCTATATGAGTACATATAGTCAATATTTCTCATAGAGAGCACATAGTCCCACCTTTCCCACTGCCATCACTGGAATGCTATTACAAAATCTGCCTCTTTTTCCCCACACTAGGTCAGATGTTGCTATATTGTACAACGATCGTTCTGTTCTTGAAAATCATCATGTAAGTGCTGCTTATAGACTCATGCAGGAAGAAGAGATGAACATCCTGGCTAATCTAAACAAAGATGACTGGAGGTAAGACTTGCTGTGACATTCAAAAATACTCCCAGTATTTAAAAATAATAAAAACCACCAGGCCTTCCCTGTGGAGTCTATTTTAAGAAATCAAATTACAGGAAGTTGACAGTGGAAAGAGTGATGGATGTTTAGAGCCTAGGGAAGGCTGCTGTGGTGTTAAGCAGTACTATTTGGGAGATTCTGTATAATTTTCCAAATGAGGTTGTGCACTTATGAGGCTCAGTGCTGGAGCGTGTGGACAGAGTCTCAGGTGAAATAGCTCTTTAGGAAAACCACAATGCTGCCTGAGCTGGGCTGCCTTTGTCCAGCATAACCAGCGGGTTGAAATCACAGTGCAGAGTCACACTCAGCTGCCAACTTGAGCTCTGCTGCTCCTGGGATCTCAGCATAGTCACATCTTGGTTAAGCATTAAAAAATGAATTGTGTGGACAGTCCAAAAATAACAAAGGCCCAGAAGTGCTACAAAGCACTTTTCTTTTTCTTCTTAATTTTAGTGTAATTCTTAAAGAAAATTTGGCCAGCTGAAAGAATAAGTATCATAATTGATATATCTCAAATAATAAGACCTGTAAGGCTAAAATTCAAGTGTTAGAGTAAGACTCTCTCCATTATTAATAAGGAAATGTTATCTTTATATATCATTGATGAATACATATTGTATTTAAAATATGAGTCTTCTGTGTTTCTGTAAACACAGATATTATTCAGCAGCTCTAAAAAAACCCTTGCAGACAGGTGGACTGTGAAGTTCAGAGAAATATGTTCTCCTAGGGGAAAGTCTCCCACTGTGAGTGATGCTACCATGAAAGCTAAACTCTGCTTTATTTGTATTTTCACAAAATTATACATTTATGAAGGAATGTGTGAACATCAGATCATATTTTGCTGAGGTGTATATTTACAGATGGACTGTTTTACATGGTAGATGTACATGATTTTACTTATTTACATGATGAGAAAACACCTAAATATAGCATTTATTGAATGTGAGTCTGCTGGCCCTTCTGATTTTCAATTAATTATTATTCTGTACCTGTTTTAAAAAATACTTTAAAAATCTATAATTTTTAAATTTAATACAAAGTGAGAGAGGAGGTATACAATTTTTAGTTTTCTTAAAATAATTTTTCTCAGAGGATGCTCATTTAGATTTAGTTATCAGAAGGTTTGTGTTGTACATTTAGTTCTGCAGAAATTTCTCCAGAAGTAATTTGTAAATTTCATTGATTACTGTCTACACACCTAGATTTTCAATGCCAACAAGACCTAGCCTTGCTCTTCTTGAAACTATTTTGGGTCTGATACTTTTGGGGCTGATAAGTCTCTGTGATCCTATTTTTGCTTGTCCTAGCTATTGAGTGTGGAGAAAATTATTGTGCCAGTATACAGCAATCAGAAACTCATATTCTGTCTTTTAAAACCATAAATTTAGGGGGAAAATTATTTTCAAATCTTCAGACATGTTGCCTTAAGTATGTTCTTTTTGAAGTGCTGTGGTTAATATTGCGTCCTACCAGAAGATGCTTCCAAGTAGAAAGGGGCTGAAATTCTTCAGCCAAATTTCAATCTAGGACTGTTTCAAGGATGGCTTGAAAACACTTATGTTCATCCCTAGTCCTGGCTTCTTCCTCACTGGAGACCACCATAAATCAGTGTAGTGTGGGAATCCCTGCTGCAGCATACAGTGGCTCCAGCTGATAGAAATCTGGCTGCCAGCTAGTACAGTTTATCCCAGTCATTCCCTTCTGTTATGCCATGAGGAAAAGGGTACTAGGATGAAACCCAAATATATGTGAGTGGAAAGAAGGACCTGTGGTTTCCAGGTTGTGATGTTCATATACACTGCTCTGCTGGACTGCAAACTAAAGAAAGGGGGGAATGTGATAAGCTTTCTTCACATTTCTGAAGCACACTCTTCTCTGTATAGATTGTTTGGGCAGATTCTCCCACAGTTATTTGTCCAGTTCAGTTGTGGACCATTTTGTCTAAATTTTGTTGCATTTAATTTCTCTGTGGCTTTTGAACCTGTGATAAACTACCACATTCTTTTGGAACTTGCACAATCACACACTGTCTCTGTTTACAATTCTTTTCAATCTCTTCTCACCGTAACCGGATTATGTTTTCCTAGAAGATCTTTAGTTTTGCAAATTTTGTTTTTATTTAGTACACAGATTCTTCTATATGCAGCTAGTTTGAAGCTGGTGAGCTTTGGCAGCCAGAGAAGAGTAGAATTTATCATCTTTTTTTGGGTATATTCAGTAAAATGTAGACGAAATGTATGAATTGATTAATAAGCTCAAGAATCTAAACTAGTACATTCAGTTCCATGTTTTGTCACTTAGCTCAGCAATTACACTCTGTTCTTTGAAGCAAGCAGTAAATTCCAAAGTGCCTGTCTTTGCTAACCTGCACAACCTGTTGCAGTGTGATACTTCAGTTTAGAGGGTCAGTCATGGAAATGACAGTTTCCTGGGATTAATTTCTAATATCCAGAAATTCCTGTTACCTTGTCATTTCATTGGTGCAATGATGGATCTGGTAGCCACTTAACAGAGACAATTTTCTTATTATTACTGGAGTGAGCTTCTTGGATCTATGCTGAAATTCATGCTGTTAAACTAACAGTTTTGAAGGTTGCACTAAATCAAGTTGGCAGTAAATTGAAATGATAATCTGTTCAACTTTTCAATGTACTTCCTGGCACTGATTAATTTCTTTACTTCTGTCATATCTATTTTCTTTAGTTGCAGCAATTTCATTTTTCAAAAATTTAACACTGCTGACTATTTAAACTGAGGTTCTGCTAATTATTCTAGCAAAATGAAGCAAAATGACTGAAATTACTTTATAGTATTCAATTTTCTCTTCTGCATGTTAACTTTAGGGAGATAAATGTGCTAATAAACTGCCAGCTTCAATTAAATTTAAAACAGACTTCTGGTCTGAGCTGGGGAACACTGCCAGCATTCTGAGGATGATGTCCTTTGTGGATAATGCATGCGACATACATAGCAATTTTTCAGTCTTTTCTTGACTCTGAAAATTTGTTCCAGTCTTTGATATTGTTTTGTTTCTTTCACTTAGTGCCCTTCAATAAAGAGGGTTCCTTGTTTGCCCCTTTTTTCCTTTGATTTAGCAGGTTCCCAGTGTTCCAGCACCCCATGCGTGATGTCATTGTAGGTGGTGGGGCAGTATTAATGTCTCAAACCACCCCAGTCATAAGGCATACAGTGATATATTGCCTGATTATCCAAAAAAAGAGACAAATAAAGCAGTATGTATTATGCATAATGCCGATAAACAACATTCTCTTACAAAGTCCCTTGACATCCTTCTGTCTAAGGATTCCTATAACTTGAAGATGAGGCTTATATCTTCAGTTCTCACCTTGATTTGCTTATCTTAGTTTGTTCCTGCATTTTTTGATTAGTTTCCAGATGACTAAATGCCTTTGTCATGGACAAATCCAGGTACTGCTAGTTTCTATTTATTTGCTAACTACTTTTTCAAGAAATTCATGTGTCACTCCTTGTCTATTTATTACACTGTTCATGTAATTTTTTCACATAGTCTTGCATCTATGTTTTTTTACAGCATCCTATCTGTAGGACTTGTGGCTGTGGAGGGTTGAGAAAGGATGCCAGCACAGAACATGACAATTTACTTAAGTAAAGTGGAGATCAACTCCACTCCAAGTAAAGTAGACTCAAACCCAGTAATCTTCTGATATTGGGCCTGAAAGATTGCCATGTGCCATGTGAATATTGTTACCATTCCCTTCATAGTATGACAACATCTGTGTGTCTTTTTGGGTGGTAGCAGGTACCTATATTATCCTGAGGCTCGTAGCTGGGGACTGCCTAATGAGGACTGGGAGAGATTTCTGTCCAGGGGTCATCTATGAGACCAGCTGAGGTCTCCCATGATGTTTAAGTTGAGACAGTCTTTTTTACCTGGGAAGCAATTTGGTAATGGGATCAGTCCAAGATTAACCTTCTGTGCAATGATAGCAGGTGAAGCATTTGTAGCTCCAGTAGAGCTTTACCTACCATTTCCCCATCAGGTTTCAATTTTCTATTCTCTGATTGTGGTGGATATGGGCACAGGCAGTTAACAACTGCAGGAGTCTCTCTTTGGCTGTTAAGCAGATTTTTAGTGGCCTGAAATCTTCAGGAGTGTGTGACAGGACAATGCTATAGTGTTTGATCCTTATTCAGATGTTGTAGGTAAGAATTAGGGGGTTTTTTCCTGCTGCCATGACAATATGAATAAACTGAAACTGTGGTTTTGCTTCTCTGTGTGTGTCTTGCCTAGTTGGGGTGAGGTATCTTGTGAGTAGGGGTGAACTTATTTCTGATTACTCTGGAAGTTCAGACATTGAATGTTCCTAAGAAAATCTCCCATGGAAAGGAGAAGTGATAATTATCTCAGTCTTAAAAATATCAGGGTTTAACAATGCAGAGCCTTTATTACGCTTGTAGTGTTAGCTGTGTTTTTTGTTTTGTTTTCTTGGGGTTTTTCATTTTGCTTTTATTTTTTAATGGTTTTGACTATTTTTGAAGGGTAAACTTTCAAAGCAATGTGGAGGCGGAACAGTTGGGATGCAAAATAATTAGTATCTTATTATGAGGTCAGATAAAGTAAGACATTTTCTAAACACAAATTGCTATGGCTGCATATTATTGAGTAGAAGTGAGAGCATTGAGTCTTTATCCAGTTACATTAAAGCAAATCAGGAATATATACATAAAAATCAGCGACAAATATCTGCTTAAATATGTAATTAATTTGGATCAAAAGAAGTCTTGATAGTCTTTATAAAAAAGTATTCTAAGAGCCTTAAAGAAAACTGCAAATTGCCTCTTTAAAGCATAGTCCTTTGAAAAAAACCTGCTTATTTTTTGCTTTACTTAAATCAAAGGTATGAATACTATATCAAAGATCGGTGAGAATAACTAAAGTAGGATTTCTCTGTTTTATTTGATACTTGGATGTCCTTAAGTTTGGGGGTGTGCTCATAAAGATATGTGGTACATAATGAAAGGTTTAATGTGGTAAATTCCCCACATACATATAAGCACCACTTGTCCTCCTAGGCCACTTAAAAAGCATATAAATAAAGACCCACTAGAGTCCTACATGGCCTATACATGATCCTTCTACATCAAGGAGATAGAATTTTCTAAATCAGTAATTATTGTTGACAAAATTAATTAAATTTTCTATTTACAATCAGAATAAAATTTCTTACATGACTTATGTTTTATTAGTTTCATATTGATTTAATAGAAAGCTGGACAAGGCAACAACTCTAATCATAATACCAAGACAGAGATAAATTATTAATCCCAAACTTGTTCTGATTCACTAAGTAGGTATTACAGTACTTTTGGAATGAAAGGTATTTTGTCATAATGATCTTATATTGGTATAAAGTTGATAGTATTTCAGATGTAATACCTCTTGCTTTTCTGAGTGTTTCCACAGCCTTCTTCCTAGGCTTAGTGTTATGCACACTCTTCACTAATCTGAGGGCAGTAAAAATGTACCCTGATGTACCCTGTTGTGTGGTGGTAAGCCCAGAGAACAACTTGTTTTTTGAATAGTCTACTGCTGGAAAAAATAAGGAATGACTTATAATGGGTGAGAGAACTGCATGTAATATTAGTTTATGCGCTGGAAATAGGATTTACAAAATAGTGTGACTCTGAAATAATAACTGCAGAGGTACAGAGGTATTTTCTGAGGTATGTTACTTTCACAGAATCCCTTTAGGATACAATGTTCAAGTTGTTAATAATTTATTTAAATGCTTTTTAAAATGTAATAAAACCCATTATGTTGTTTTGAAAGTTATAAATTAACAAATACTGCTTAAACAAATGTACCATGCATAGAATAAATGAATTGTAATCAGTCATTTTGCTTTTAATTATTCTTAGGGAGTTGCGTAGCTTGGTCATTGAGATGGTCTTGTCTACAGACATGTCAGGTCATTTCCAACAAATTAAAACAATGCGACACACTCTGCAGCAGGCACAGGGGTAGGTGATTTTCCATTCTCTTCATTATCTGCAGTCTTTCAATGAGCTCATATTCAAGAAAAGAATTTAAATAGTTGCTTTTGTTTTGAGATAATTGGAGCATGTCCTTGAATTGACAGGGTAGACAAAGCCAAAGCCATGTCTTTGATTCTACATGCAGCAGACATAAGCCATCCAGCAAAATCCTGGGAGCTGCACTACCGGTGGACCATGGCCCTGATGGAAGAATTTTTTCGACAGGTGCCATTTTTAAAATCCTTTCATAAATCTAGCTCAGGAATCAATGGTTACACGATTTAATATTTTCTTAAGTCTACCAGCAAGGTTGCTGTTGGTTGTGATTGACAGGCATAGTCAGTAGTATATATTCTTTATTCTTCATGCATACCACTGACATTGATTCAACTTTTATGTGTGTTAATAAGACAAAATGGTTATAGTTCTCTATCTCTTTCAGCTGATATCAGTATTCTGAGTGTTGTAGTGGGTTTTTTTCCCTTTCAATTATAATATAACTTGTCAAGCTGTTTTCATTCTGTAGACGAGATTTATATATGCTTTGAATTATAAAGAAGAACCAGAAGGATAGGATGAAAGAAAATAGGAAGAATTCATGTTCAGCAAAGAAGGCAAAAAGTTATCTCCATTCCACATTTCAGAAAGTCCTTTTATTTCTTTTCCTTGCTAGTATTAGCCATGCATATGCCACATAGATCTGAAGGTGTTGCTTTCATAACAGCCTCATCCAAAGCCAGAGATTAGACAGTACCATCCTGTTAATGCTGTGCCCATATACCCTAAAGCAAAAATGAAGACACACCATTGTGAAAGCCTTTTTATTTCTGTGAGGTACTGAATTCCAAGAGAAAACCCAATAGATGTTGGTGTCACTGCTGTCATTTTTTGACTCACCTCAGCAGGTGAAAGCAAAAACCCTTTCTCCAGAGGGAAAATACTCTCCTTGTAATCAATATTTGTCACCATGCACATTGTCAGCATAACAGCTACTGAAATACAATTGATAATCAAAGTCCAGTTTAGGTATGATAATTTCTAGAGATATGCACAGATTTTTAATCAGGGAACACTATGTCTTGCTCAGCTTGATTGTCTTAATTTTGCTATATGTTGACATTTTCAATTCAGAAAGGTCACACTGGAAAAAGAGACCAGAGAATAAAAAATAAAGTATGTGAAACCATGAGATTGTTAGACCCATCTGCCATATAAGGTTCCTGCTCAGGTCCCAAAGATTCTTCACATGAATTCTCAGTAGGGAGCATTGGGCATCCTTGACTCTAGACTTTGCACAGGGGAGCAGACTGGAGAATTGGTGCCTTAATAGAAATAGTTCCTGCTCAGGTCCCAAAGATTCTTCACATGAATTCTCAGTAGGAAGCATTGGGCATCCTTGACTGTAGACTTTGCATAGGGGAGGCAGACTGGAGAACTGGTGCCTTAATAGAAATAGTGAATGGATTGAGTTTCATGGAAATAATGAGCAGTCATGAGTTTGTGTCTGCTTCTGTCGAGGGAAATTTTGAGGATTTTGAACTTGAGAGCAAAAAGGAGGAGCAGATTGCCCAAGAAAAGGGTCATAAAATGACCAACTGTAATAACATTTAAGACACAGATAGACAGGCTAGACAGGGCCCTTGGGACAGTTTCCAGCCAAGTGGAGGTAGCATTAGCAGTAAACAGTACCACGCTGCTCACTGAATGCATAGGACCAGCTAATGTTTTAGTTATTCCTTTATCCATTCATTAGAAGAAGTAACTCGATCCCAAAGAAGCTGCTCAAAAACTTGAGAAGGCATTTATTTAACAATAGCAAGTAAAAGTGTATATATGTATGCAATGTAGCAGTGTAAAATACCAAAGGCTTCCAGGCTGCAGGGGAGTGTATCAGAAACAGAATTCTTTCCATGTACTGCAGAGGACAACGTGTGTGGAGTAGTTCCAGCCCTTTTAAAGTGTCAGCACACATATAAATGCACTGAGCAGTGCAAACACAGTAGGTCTCCTGCTTCCTGGATGCAATGGCTTGTTGTGCATCCTCTGGTCTGTTATCTGAGCCTGTGTGATAGAAATCTCCAGGACTTCCAAATCCATGCCAGCCAAGATGAAGTAGTCCAAATGTATATGAAATCCCTTAATTGCTCCTCTTCTTTTCTTTGAAGATTCAACTACTTCTGTGCCTTATGGCAAAAGCAGTAGATTCTGAAAGAAGCTGAATGCAAATCCAATGCTTTCACAGGCAGCTTTCAAAGTAGTGAGCACCAGCAAAAAAATGAACATTCACCTTGACAAAAACTTTGTTAACTACGGCTAATGTTTAAAATATGTGCCAGTGTTAACTTCAGGAAAAAAACCCCAACAACACTTTAATAGCAACAGCTAGAGAAAGTATATTGAAATACCAAGGAAAATCCGAGTTACTTGTTTAAAATAGAAATACAGCCACTCATCTCAAATCCTTAAAACTAAAGAAATACATTGTTCCAGTAACTCAAAGTATCACAGTGCCTATAGCACTCTACTCTGAGTCTGAATAGCCCCAGAGACATTAAAAGACAATTAAAAAGTGAATCCATTGCCTGGACAAAGAATTTTTTTACAGTTTGATTTGTATCTTGGTTTTAGATCTCATTAAATTCTAACGACTGGTTTAGATATCAGTTCTGTGACCATTATTACAATATATACTAGCCTTAGATTTAAATGACACTTAAGTAGTAATTAATATTATGTTGATTGCAAAGTAATTCATAACTGGGGTAAGGAGCTACTTGAAAACGAAAAATAATCCAATGGGGTAGTTAGAACTATCCCAATTTATATGATATTACAATCTGGCCCCTGTATTTAGATGGAGGTGCCACTCCCACTGCTTCTAGTAGCAAGTGTTCGTGTGTTCTTCCATGCTCTGAGTTCAAATTATTAACACTTCAGTATAAAATTTAATGGCTTTAGTAATAAAGCTCTCCACTTTCACATGAAATGCAATCTGTGAGTTGTGTCTGTTTCTGTGGCTGGATTGGTTTTACTGCTTTTATGGTTCCAAACCATTCCCAAATATGACTTCAGTGACACTTGAAAAAATCTGTGACTGGATTGGTTTTACTGCTTTTATGGTTCCAAACCATTCCCAAATATACTTCAGTGACACTTGAAAAAAAAGACTAAGGAAGGTTAATACTGCCCCCTTCATCCATCAGTTTATGTTTTCCCAGTTTTCCTTGGGAGAATGATGTTCATGCAGTATTTTCATGCATGTATGTTCATGCAATGCTCTCCACTGAATTATAATCTAACAGCACTCTCCATGACAAATATATAGGTTCATTTGACTTGCAAGGCTAGGTTTTCCTATATCTATAATGTCAGTGCTTCTGGCAGCCAAATTTATCCAGCAACACCAATTATAACCTCCTTTGAAAGATGTCTCTTCAGGGTTATTTTTTTTTGTTGGTTTTTTGGTTTTGTTTTTTTTTTTTTTTGTTTGGTTTTTTTTTTGTTTGTGCCACTGGACTTTTCTTTTGAGGTTTTGCAAATCAGTTGGTCTACCATGCTGAAAATGGATATACACCCTCCTGTCTGTTTAGACTGTTGCAACAAAAAAGACTCTTCTAATCTGCAAAGTGCTGAAAAAATTTCAGAGCTAGGATGTACAAATCATCGTTGTAATGAAACTGAATTTGTATTTTTTGTGGCTTCAGCAGCAGAGACATGCCTGCTAGTAAGAATAAGTTCAAGTCAGTTCATACACTTGACATGAATAAATCCATTGAAGGATTTTTACATGCTGGATGAACCAGTGTAATAGAAGGAAACACTCAGCATTTGGCATACTACTACAAACATATCTAAGTATCTCTAGTCCCATTACATCTGGATCAGCAGAACTAAATTGTGAATACAAGGACTTCAGATATTTTAAATCTCATTGGCAGATGCTTTCTGTTGAGGAGAACTTGCATTAAGTTTCTTTACATGAAAGTTGCCAAAAGCAAGTCAGAATTTAGACTCTTAATCAAAATTTGAAGATTTGTCTCTGACTTGTTCTTATTCAGGAATATAAATTAATGAAGTGATCTTGAATAAATACTAAGAATATTCAGATTCCTTTATCTTTCTGTCCCTCCATCAAATATATGCTTATAATATTAAACATTGTTGTTTACAGGGAGACAAGGAGGCTGCTTTAGGTCTTCAATTTTCCCCACTTTGTGACCGCAAGTCCACTTTGGTAGCTCAGTCTCAAATAGGTAATGAAAAACTGTGTTTTTCTCTTTTTTGTCTGTATAGGAGCATGTAAATTCACAAGATATTTAATTTACCCATTTTGAATTTTAAATGTTCAAAATTCCATCATATGGAAGGTATTTCTTTGCACCTATCTGTTCACCAAACTCCTGTACTTTTGCAGCAGAATGGTGCTGGTCTCAAAAGAACATGATGTCATTTCAGCATATGTGAGGGAGGGGTAGGAGAGGGATTAACCAAAATACTGGACATGGGCCCAGCTTCTACTGTACACACTTTAGAGTCTGGCAGATCATGTCCTCAAATTGCTTATCTCTTGCTTAAGAACTCGCGGGTCTCTATTATAATCTGAAAGTACCAGTTTGTAGATGCATCTCAACTCAAAGCTGATTAAGAAATCAGCCCTCTGGACTGCAAGTAAGCCTGTCAGTGTCTCAGGGTCAAAATACAGAGGGTCAAGCCTCCCTGGCCAGTCACTTTTTGTATCCTTTATTCCATTTCACTGGGAGTTTGAAGCCAGTATGTTTGAGCATCATATCTACTGGAGGGAGAGAAGCTGGATTCCAGATTGACTCCTGTTGCTCATCTTCACGCTGTATTGCATGCTTAGAGCAGGAAGACATCTGGAAATCCATTGCTAGCTCATGTTTTAACATACCTTTTTTTCTGTTAAGTGCTCAGTAGAGAATAATGCTTCATTCTCTCACTGTGTCATTCCATACCATGATGAGCACTTTAGAATGTAAAAGACATTGTTCAGAGCTGACATCTCAGAACTGTGGGATGAATGCTGTCTCCTAAGGATATTACTTGTTCTCTTCACTGATTTGACAGAGCCCTCCTACACACTGTGAAATAACACTTTACCTCCACAGAATAATAAACAGCAATTTGAAATATTAACTCCTTGGCAAGAAGCTCCGAATAGTAAAAGAGACAGCATGGCTTGTAGCATTCTGGCTCAACAGTAGCTTCCCTTCTATTCAATAATTAATACTCATTTCAAATGGTGGGTGTGTTCAGCAGTGCATAAAATTTACAAGGAAAAAGAATGAAAAGCTGTAATTATTAATATCTACTTATATCTACACAGTTTCAGGTGTTTTTTGTTTCAGTTGTGCTTTTTTCTTCAAGATTATACTAGTGGTATTTAGTATATTGAATTGGGAATGCAGTTAGAAAATTAGCCCAGTGGCAAGTATTCATTTTTAGATTTGAGACTTGTGGAAATATAAAACCTGATTTTTCTCTCTTTTTCGTCTTTAGGTTTCATTGATTTCATAGTAGAACCAACATTTTCTCTTCTTACTGATTCAATGGAGAAAATTGTTATGCCTCTTATAGAGGAAGCGACAAAATCTGAAAGTCCTGCATTTGGGACCCCCAGGTATGAATACACTGCTTTGTTATTGAACTAGCATAAGCTCACATAGTAACCATAATAATGTGATTCTCAGAGTGATCTCGGTTATGTCAAGCTGGGGAGATAACAAACAGCTGTGCAGTATTGCCACCCTGTGGGGCTGCATTGTATTTGCAATGTGCTATTTTGCCCCATTGACTGAACAATTGTACATATAAAAAGGCAAAATCCCAGTAATCATCAGAATAAACACATACAAACAACGAAATTTGTTTCTACAATTTAAAATATAATATTTCCAATAGGCTATTGAAATTCCTGTACCTATAAGGCAAAGTAGCTACAATAGTGTAATTTGAGTGTAATTTAAGTGGCTTCTTGCTGAAAGCATTGTTGAATAACCAGATACTGCCTTTACAAATACTGCCTCTGTTATAATATTTTTATTTCACTTTAAAACTGTAACTTGAGCTTTCACTGACGTTACTAAATGATAACTCTGCAAGGCAATTTTTCATTTGCTGGGCTTTAGTTAGATTCCAGTAACAAAAGGGTGAACCTAGCACTTTCCTATGTTTTGCTAACTAGAAGCAAGTAGGACTTACTAGAAGTAGGTATTTTTGATGGAGTTCTTAGTGTTTTGGGGAACAGTGCTAAACTAAGGTATTACTGATAACAAATTTGTTTACATCCTCCTTCACAAAAGAGTGATTAGCAGCTGCAAATAATTAGCAGCTTCAGGCTTCATTTTTGGTTGATGTTCATGACTGAATAGCAAATGAAAAAAAGGCTTATGATCCAGCAAAAATCCCTCATGTGAGATGGAGGATAAAGGGGATTTTTCTTTGTATAGAATCAAGTGCCACACTTCTGAGGAGAGTGGAGAACCTGTAGCACAATACAGAAAAGTCTGAGCCAGAGAATTGCACACACCCTGCTGTGTGGACACCATGAGATGGTGCCTGGAAAACACTAGAATTATGGCCTATTCTTTCCATTCTTTCCCATTCAACATCTCTGGAGCACATGGAAATTACAGTTAACTCTTCTTGTGAAGTTCTTGTTGGTATACTCACTGCAATTATTTTCTGATTATTGGAAAACCGTTTGTATGTATATTAACATCTGTCTTTGGTACCAATGAGATAAACCATGCAGCAAAGTTGAATAAACAAAATCTATTAAGACATGAGTACCTGTACAAGGTTGGAAATAGGTCTTATTTTTTAATTCTAAGAAAAAAAGGGCATTCGTTCTTTTTTCCCCCACCTTTCCCACCATATACATATAGGGATAATTTCACTTCTGCTTACCTGTAGAGGTAAAATAGCTGCAGTCTCTATTTAGTGGGTGTTAAAGCCACTCAAATCTTGCTTTGACTACACTTGAAGTTTTGTAACTTGAAGAAAATTTTCAGCTCAAGCAAAACTTACCTGTCATATATGTCATGTCTTCCTTTTTCTTAAATGGGTCAAAAAATAATGATCAGATGTCTTCCCTGTGAGACCCAAGGATACCATTCACCATTCAAAAACACAGCAAAGAAGCTGCTCAAAAAAGGCTGTGCAAACATTCTTTTAAGAATGAAATTACAAGTAATGTATTTTCATGTCACATTTTTTTTCAAGAATCCCTGCTAGAAAACGGTCATCTTAGGCATGCTCTGGTAAAAACTATTTTTTCAAGTTAGTTCCTAAGCAACTTGATTGACATCAACTGTTTGTGTATTATTAAAATTGCCTGACTGTATTTATAATTTGGGGTTTTTTTCCCTTGTCCAGCCAAAATAGTTTGGGAGCAGTAAGCAACGCTGAAGCACAAAGACGACCTGGGTTTAAAAGTACAGGTGATGGAGGGACTCACATAGAAAATTCTCTAGCAACTGTAGACCTAAGGGGCTTCAAGGACAACTTGATGAAGATCATTCAAGCAAACAAAGAAAGATGGAAAGAATTGGCAGCAGAAGGTATGATCTATTAAGATAGAATGTTTTTATAGGTTACTCCCTAAGACCTCACCTATGTTCATTTTTTAATTTCTATCAACCTGTAAAAAGGCATAGTTGTCTTGTACTCATATATTTTATGTCTTAATGTTTGTTTTAGATGCTCCTGTTTTGCTCTCCCAGGAGGTCTAAAGAGGTGTAGGTGGTTAGGGGATGGGGGTAAATCATACAGCCTGTGCAATAAGCCTCTGTGTTGCACAGCTTATCTTTAGAGGTCTGGTTTAGAAATGTGCATTCTTGCACTTCTAATTGTAACTGATACTGACATCTGCTTTAAATGCCAAAATCAACAATTCAAAGTGGTGTGTGCTGCCACATTTCTTCAGAAATGTGAAAGTTGTGCTTTGCTATTAGAAATGCTATTTGTTCCCCACTGTATGGAATAAAATTCTGTATTGCAGGCTTCTTGGGACTATGCTGTAGGCAATTATTTAAATGACCCAGTGGATCTAAAGATTTGGGCAATCACTGCATGCATTAGGCCAAGCAAGCCAAAAGTGACTCTTCATTTGCCAGTAGATAGTTAAGAAAGCCAAACCTGCACAGAGTATCTCAGTTCATAAGCCATACCTGAAAATTACCTGAAATTACAGTTACCTGAGTGAAATGTTTTTCAATCACCTGAGTGATAATTGTTGAGAAGAGTTTATAACTTCAATCTTGGTTAAGTGAATTGGGAATATTTTGTCCACAGTCTGTGTTATTTCCTAGTAAGTACCTGGAATATTTCAGCATAGCATTTCACTGCAGAGACTGGTCTTGCTGTACATGGCCTGACACTGACAGCTGGGAACGATATCCTGGAACCCAGTGCCAGCTTTGTTTTTCATCCCATCATCCAAATCAGTGTCTTTTTTTCCCAAAGAGGTGTCAGACGAGACAGAAAAAGAGTGCTGAACAGTGACAAAATCTAATTTAGTGTTAAATTGCAAATGAATAGTCTCATTAGGAGGATATTAAGAGTAAGCTTCCATACATCTTTTGTGACAAAGGTTTGAAAGAGTGAGGTGGAAGGGGCCTCTGAGGAGAGGATTCCGTTAATACTGTCTCTTCTTCCTGAGAAGCTTTATATAACCAAATGCTTGCTTTGGTGTTGCCCAACTAAAAATGGCTGGTCAAAAGGGAAAAACAGCTAATTTGCAGATGGTCACAGAAGACCATCAGAGTGCTCAAGGCCACTTAGCTACAGCCTGCAGAAATCAAGCAGCCTGGTGACATGACAGGTCCTTCAATGTGACGTAATGGAGAACTTGTTGTCTGGAAGTTTCCTGAGCTGGTGACATGACAGGTCCTTCAATGTGGCGTAATGGAGAAATTGTTGTCTGGAAGTTTGCCATTTCCAGTTACACAGAACTAAGCAGTTTGGTTCTGGTGCATCAGCTTTTTAGTATGCTCTTCTGGAGAGGTACGGTGCTATCAAAGGGCACTGTTTCCACTTCATTCCCAGGGCTTTGTTGTGCTCTATAAATTACTGATATATTTAGCCCAGTTTTACTGGACTGCTGACAGGCATTGAAAACACAAAGCTACTTGCAGCAACAGATTTAAAAATTACTTTGGGTAAGGTTGCAGTCAATATCAATGTAAGGCCCAGCAAAATCCAGGAAACTCTGGACATGCTTCCTACTCTGACAACCAGAGATGTTAATGTTGAAGGCTCGATGGATTTTGTTGAGGTTGTGGTTGTCCTAACCTCCATTTCTTCCATCAACTTGAGTAATGAAGCATGTCTAAGTACTTTCTGAACAGAACTATGGAATTGCAGTAAAACATACATTAGGGAAGCTGATGAGTAAGTGAAAATAGCTGGGGTTGGGGCCAGCGCCCGATGAACAATATTGTCTCTTTGTGGTTGTGGCTGGATCTGTTTTTTGAACTACTCTGTGAGGAAAAGATTTATAGAAATCTGCTGCCACAAAGAGGCTACTTGCAGCAATATCTGCAGTTGACTGGAGCGTGGCATAGAGACCTTCGGGGTGCCAGTTTAGCCTGTAGAGGAAACCTTGTGAATAATACAAATACTTTTGAGTACACATTTATATTTTATTAGTAAACAGATAGTAATGTGTTTTTATTAATTAACAGCTGTGGGATGGATTGTGTAAGTTTTTTGGAAATTATATTTTCCATTCATTTGGAATGGAATGTCTGCATCCACAGTCCGTATGTGGGCCCTGCGGGCTGCTGTAAAAGAGTTTTTTGTTAAGTAACAATAGCTTTCTGTAGAGGACTTTCTGAGGTAACATGTAATCCTTGCCACTAAATGGAAAAGGGAGTCTCCTCAACTGGTCTAGTATATCTGCTCTGAAGCTGTACCCTGCAAAGGCTGGAAATCCTTAATTGAACATCTAGTAAAGAATAAAAAATATTGCAATACATCCCCCTTCCCTTTAAATTATTTTCAGATTAACCAAGTTTGACTAAGCTTGTAAGTTAATAACCTGAGCCCTTGAACTTGAGATGATTAGTCTCATCTTCTCTAGATCTCGTGCTACCTTCTCTGACTCCATGCTTGATGAAAAATCTTTAGGCTGCTTTGGGCATGTGTATGAAGTTGTGCTTTATTTGTATGTTAGTAGGAGCACGTACTGAGAGGTGTCAGAGAAAAATCACTGCCAGGTGAAAGTAGTGCTGTCATTGTTCCTAGCTAGATAATTTGTGACAAGTCACAAATTGCTGAATGCACTGAGGAGGTCACATGTATGTGGTAGTAAACAGGCTGGCTCAGTGCAGATCTTCAAACACGCTTCCTAGCTGACTATGACAAACAGAGCTTGTGCTGTTAAAGGAACCATCTGCATTCTTGTCAATGGGCTCTGCAAACACCAGATATTGTTCCCAGTTTAGTTCACAGGCTCAGGAGAAGTTGTCTCCATAAAATGTAGTACTACAGATGCACAAGGAGTAGAGAAAGGAAACTAGCAACATTCCGTGTAATTTCCTGAGGATGACCTGAACTCATGCCAGCTTTTCAGGATAAGTTTGCACATGTAGCACCAGTTTGGGAGGCAGTTTTTCTGGAGCAAGGGCTCCCTTAGCAAGAGCCAGAGAAGATGGTCAGACTCCTGTGCCAGGCAGTCCAGAGGAAAAGACTAATTCTCAGTGGCAGTGTTGTTGACAGGGAAGCTGTCCTGGAGTTGCTGGGGCTACCTCTCCCTGAAAAGACAGCTGCTGTTGGGGCTTGATTCAGAGCAAGCAGCTTGTGCAAGGAATAGTGTGCTTTTTGGAAAGGCCTGTGTTAGTAAGGGAAGTTTTCATCTACCTCGGCAGCTGTTTGAAAGCCTCCTTAACAGAAGGCTCTGTAAATAAGATGGCTCCACTTTGCTAAAAAGGCCATGTCTTGTGTAATTGATGCAGAGGAGCTCAGTGCTCTATAGCCTAAGGGTCTTCAACCTTTCACCACTGGAGAATTAGAGGAATGTTTCTCCGGCCTTTCAGGGAGTGCTGTTAACAGGGAATTACCATAATGATCAAACATCTGGGATTCTAATTTGAAAGCCTTGATGTTTAATTAATATTCCAAGCCCCAATCACCATATAATCTGTGCAACTCAACACGGTGATGAAGATACTATTCCATCCTGTGCTTTTTTCAACACATTTTGTTGATGGCTGCTGTTTGCTATTATTATATTGTAGCAAATGGACAGTAAATGTGCTCAAATGTGTCTGAGAGGTTCTTTCATCAGAGAATATGTGTCTAAGTGGATTTTAAGGTCTGAAAGTTGTTGATCTACTGAGAAAGCTGTAAGAAGCACAAAACTTATAGAGAAAGGTTTAACTACCACATAAGATCCTTCACGGTGCCCTTCTTAGAATATAATTGTAAAACAATTCTTTAATATTTTAAATATTTTATTTAGTGTTTATTCCTTTATTCATACTTAGTTTGTTCTATAAAAATGTTCCAAAGATTTACTAATGAAATTGGTCTGTGCTTGGCAAGCTCAGGTACTCTTAACAGAATGTAAGGGTACGGACTAATCATGCTTGCTGATTTATATGCTTTGATCTCTTCAGTAGTTATCATTGTAAATAAAGTCACAGGGATAAATAATATCATTAATTTCTGTTTATAATGAACAGAAAGAGGCACAGGCAGCTCAGGACACTCACCTGAGGTCATATGACAACACAAAGGTATGCAGAACAGCGCACCAAAAGTCCAGCTGCCAATCAAATGGGCCCATCTGCAGCATAATACAATAGCAGTTGTATTACAAACTTATTGTTTCCATTTTATGCTTATGTAACTCTTCTAAAGTATTCAGTGTTACAGGACCTGACCCAAGTTTGCATTATCTATATGGAAAGACATCAGTGACAAATGTTTTTCTCAACACTTTTGGCAGTGCACTGGGCTGCATGGCTTGAAAGTGTACGCCTGGGATGACTGACCTCATCAAGGTGGGATGAAAAATATGTGAGGCTGAACGAGTCTCTCACACTGGCCTCTGCTTAATTTTGATGCTAAAAATGTGACAAAATAACTATTGCATCTTCGGAGTACAGATCAGCCTTTTTTTCCCCCACGGGCAGCAATTTTGAATAACAAATGTCTCTTCTGAAAGACCTGTGCATGGTACCTGCAGGCTCCCCTCGGGCACTTTCAGTTCTGCATACTTCCAGTCACAATAACCACAGGGCTCAGTTCCATTTTGTCTGAAAGATTTTCTCTGCAGACTCACTAACAAGAAGAGAGTAGCAGCTGCTGAAATGTGAAAATCTGAGAGTGATGATCTGATAGCATGTTAATGTGACTTAGCAGCCGCTAGGAAGGGCGGGCCGTGGGAGGATGTGTGTGACAGTCACAGAAACTGACTGACAGTTTGGCACATGAAATCTACCCTAATGGACGGTTTTATTCTGTTGGAAAGTAATCAATTCAGGAGGCTAAAGGAGTCCCATCTAGTATCAGTGACAGTGATTTTAATTGCAGTGCTAAAATGCTGAGGTCATAA